AAGTCCAGCACCTCCACTTCGAACACGACCGTGGCATTCGGGGGAATGAGAGGAGGACAGCCCTGCCGCCCATAGGCGTAATCTGGTGTGAAGACAAATCTTGCCACCTCTCCCTTCTTCATCGTCAGCAGGCCAATTTCCAGGCCCCCCAGCGTAATATCTGGCAGAAGAAGAAATGGAAGATCATGAGGATCGCAAACCTGGAAACCCCCTCAGACTCCAAACAACAATTTCTCCTAAAGCCTGGAGGGAAAGAAAAAAAAAAAATCTTTGGTAGCTCATGTCTCAGCAGCTACAATGGTCAACTGCCCCCTGTTACGGCTTAGCAAGGCAGGCTGCTGTGGGACCAAGCACACAGTAAACAGCGACATCTCCTCTCGGGTGATTTAAAAACCCCAAAACAAGCAGCTGCTTCAGGGCAGGCAGCAAGCACCCCCGCTGCCGCGAACAGCGCCGGCACCGCTGCTCGCTCCCACAGTCAAGAGGGGCAGAGGATGATCGGTTCCAGATTGACCATCACCTGCGTGAAGCAGGAGGCTTTTGGACTCCATTAACAAGCTCTAAAGGTTTCAAATAACCTAAAGACACCAAACAGCATCTAAATTGACACGTCTTAATGGGCTGGGCTTTATAACCCCAAGTCCCGGGACAAACTTTTCGGCTCAAACCTACCTTTTCCAAGTTTCATCAGCCCAGGAGACTTGCTGTAGCAGTTTGTGCAGAAGGGCTCATCCCAGTGTTCCAGGTAGCCGGTGTACTTCACTGTGCAGCCCAAAGCGAGGAGAAAGGAAAAGCAAGAGTCTGATTTCACATGCAGTAACAGTACCGTCGGAAGCACACCAGGAATTGGTTTTGCAACATCACCCTTTTATCCTGCTTTTCTTCCTTCCTTCCTTCCTTCTGCTGCAGAACAGCAGAGGCAGCACAAACTACCTTGTCCTTATACCAAAAACCTGGACACATCCAAGTAGCCAAGCGGTGTCGATTGTGTTTTAACATCAACACCAAATAAAACGGCTGCTTCACAGTCTTGATGCCTTTCTAGTCAAGGGTTGCGATTTTGTGTTTCTAAGAATTGGAATGGAAGCTTCGGCTGTAGAAATTAAAATGCCCCCATTACCTGCAGAAACACACAATAAAGCCTTTCCCAACCAGAGCCGGAGCCCTAGAAAGAGAAACAAAGGGGGAAGTGCACCCCTCCGAGCTCGGCCACTCCCCGGGGGAGCCGTACGGGTAACTCCAGTTCTCACTCAGTTAGAAAACCCACTGTAACGGGCTTCCCTTGACACGGCACCAGGCCCTTGCACTTCAGGAACCACCTTCAGCTTCGAAATTCTGCTCTGTACTGTGAACACAGGTGGGACCTGGAAATCCTGCTTTTCTCAAGGTCAAGATGCCCTTTCATTTAATCTGCCAGCCACAAGAAGTTAAACAGAGTATCCCAAGTGCTAAAATACTGATAAGGGAGAGCGGTCTCTGAAACAGAAAGAAGCACTACCGTATAACATAAGCACTTTTACGTTCTTGTTCTGATCTCACGCTGAAGTCCAAAGCGCTCAGATTTGCCAGCCAGGAGCACCTCGACACTAGAGGCTCAGGGGATCTTTTACAACAGGTTCCGTCCTCTCCGCCTCCCCCAGTGCACACTTCAGGCCCAGCCACACAGGCCAAAGCAAGGACCTCGCACCGAGACGCTGAGCGACAGAGGGGCACGAGACCCCGACCTCAGCCCGCGCTTCCAGGGATTTTAGGTTTTCTTAGCCCTGCTAACCACAGATTAAATTCAGCAGTTGCCATCGATGAAGAAAGCCGCTCAGGAGGCGGCCGGCGGAACCTGCAGGCTTGTACCCAC